GGCATGACTGCATGGAGCGCCGTTACCTTCCCGCCAGAGCGGTACCTATTGATCTACTCACATTTGCATGTTTTCGAACTGCTAGGTTGGCAGAAGCTAGGGCTGACAGTGGAAGCTCACGCGGCTCCCCAGAATCGAACCTGCGACCTTTTGATCAACAAGCTCAGCAGCTCAGTGCTTTAACCCACTGCGCCACCGGGGGCTCCCCAATACCCCCATGCATATGGGATATATTGAGCATGGTGATCAGATCATGATATGAATAAACATAACAGTTTAAATAATGTACCAGTAAGGCCTTCTCGCGGACCATCATGAGAATTTGGGGGGGGGGGGGCCCAGCCCCCCCCCCCCCCCTACATGCCTAGTTGGGTGGATATACAAATGGAAATGGGTATATGCTATTAGCCTTTGTGATGGAAGTTGCATGCTTCCAGACAATTATTTATATCCTGCTTTTCTCCCATGGGTGGGAATCAATGTGTCGAACAAATGGTAAAAAACAAAAGATATATGATACAAAAAAACACAACATCATTCTCCCAGTCCAAACATATAAACAATAAACGAACATGCTGCTTAAACACATACACAAACCATATAAAATAAGCATAAAACAACATTTATCACTATCATTAAAAATCCCTAGGCTTCAGGCCACTGAGTTTATTAAAAAGTCTCAAAGCTTCAAATCTTTGATCATGTGAGCCTTGCCTGACTGAGATAACCTGCTTATTGTGGGTTGTTGGGGAAGGCCTGCTTCCATAAAAACATTTTAACCTGGGAGCAAAAGGCCAGTTACAAGGGGGGTGAATACACCTCTTTGGGGAGGGAGTTCCAGAGCCACAGGGCTACCACCAAGAAGTTCCTTTTGTTAGTATGTATTATGATATGAAAATTGCTTATAGTATAAACTGTGTGGTTTCAGTAATCATGAGTTAAAACAGAGATGTGAAGTATTGGTAGAGTGCCACTTTCAGAGATTCCTATGCAGGCTGAAAAAGAAAGACTGATAAGAAAGGAATGTGCTTCTTGCAGTGTGCCGGATGTGAGCGGACATGATTGCTGGTTGTCTTGTAAACTGTGTAAATCAGCGGTCCTCAAACTAAGGCCCAACGCCGGATACGGCCCTCCAAGGTCATTCAACCGGCCCTCTCTCCAGGTCAACCTAAGTCTGAAATGATTTGAAAGCACACAACAACAACAACAACAATCTTATCTCATCAGCCAAAAGCAGGGCCACAATTCCCACTGGAATACTAATAAGTTTATATTTTTAAAAATTGTTCTTCAATTTAATGATTGTATTGTTTTTAAGTGTTTTTGCAATACAAATAAGATATGTGCAGTGTGCATAGGAATTCATTCACTTTTTTTTCAAATTATAATCCGGCCCTCCGACAGTTTGAGGGATTGTTACCTGGCCCCCTGCTTAAAAAGTTTGAGGACCCCTTGGTGTAAATAATTAAAGATAAGTGCCACTTTCTGGTGAAAGCTGAATTGAAGGAGTCCGGTGTTGTTTTACCACTTGGTGCTTCAAGCAGAAGCTTGAAAGGTCGAAGCAGCTGAGATAAGGAAGGTGATTTATCTCAATTTAACAACATCTCTCTCTTGGTCCCACCAACCGTACTTGTGATGGTGGTAGGACCGAGAGAAGGGCCTCTCCTGATGATCTCGGGGCATTTGCAGATGCGGTCCCTCAGGTAGGCTGGACCCAAACTGTTTAGGGCTTTATAGGCTAAAGCCAGCACAATCCGACAGTGCTGCCATCAGTTTCCTTTCTCCTCTAACCTTTTGAACAAAGGGTAAACCACGGTTATGAGCCATGTGCAAGGGGTGTGAGAATGGGAAACAAACGTCCTGTAGTTCTGTCACTGCAGATGGGTTTCCTCTCCTTTCTTTCCAGTAGGAACAGCTTTGGTCAACATGGATGTTAGTCATCTAAGGCTGGATCTACACTGCTCTATATTCTAGGATCTGATCCTAGATTTTCAGTAATCCCCAATTATCTGGCTCATATAATGCAGTTCAAATGAGATAATATGGGATTAGATTCTGGGATACAGGGCAGTGTAGATTCAACCTTAGACAAATGAAGCTCCTCCTTTGAATTGAATTGCTTTTCTGATATGAACTGGCTCACCAGTGTTCTGAGTAAATCTCCCGCTGTCTACATACTCTTGCTAATTATATAAGTGCTTGTGGGCTATATATGTACATATATCGACCTTTCAAAAATGCTTCAAACCAGTAAAGAACCTAATTATGCTCAGATTTATAAATGCCACAAAATAAACCCTATCACTTTGAGCCTTATTTCCAGCAGGGAGCCATCATATCACAAATTGTTCCTGCAATCAAATTTAATTTGCAGGTTTTTGGTTGAACTTTGATGAGTATGCAAAGCATCTAAATGATATGGGAAGCAAGACAGGCGCCTGCATTTCAGCTGAGGTTCCTCTAGTATGCAAAATTGCATGTTCCAACTTTCACCCTTCTTTCCTTCCCTTAGTTAATGTAATTAACAAGTTCTTATTGGTTAGGATTCTCTCCGTTGTTAAATCTATCTAGCTACCAGCCTTGAGAATACTGAGTTTTTCTTGGCCTATGTTTGAATCTTCCTTCATAATTTGCCATGCACAAAGTGAAGTGCAAGTAGTCATGTAATTGTAGTCTACCATAGGTCTGCCATCCCTTTTTAACTTCTTACTCTGTAATATGGCATCATAGCATAAATGTTGGTTCTGTCTGCAATAAGCCCACTCTGTTCCTTTGAGCTGCTACCACTGAAATTAGCATCTTTGTGTTCTTCAAATGCAGCATGCTGCTATATGGAAGAGAAAACATGGTGGGCAAAAAAGTATGGGTAAAAACATGGTGAACACGCCATGCTTATTGTCACTGAGAATATGGCTATCCCCAGGCTTCCAGTTCTCAGGTACCAGTTAACATCATATCTGTTTGTATAAGCTTTTGGAGATAAATGCAGCAGATATATTTATCTTTAACAGCTATTCTCTGTAAAAAAGACTTTTAGTAAATTGATTTTTAGAATTTCTCATTTTAAAGGTAAAATTTTCTGATTTTTCAGTTTAGGATTTTAAGTATTTTAAGCGATTTCTAAAGCTATATTTTAATTACTAGATTCTTAGCTCCCTGAGGTCTTATGAGGAAGAGAAGGCTATAAATCAAATAAATCTAAAACTTAAATTTTGAATGCATAGAATTGGAGAGATTGAAGAGTGCAGTTGTGATTTTGGACTTGAAGAGTTCTGCCTGTTAAGAGGCATACAGAATTGTGCTTAGTGTCTTGATTTACTGCCATCCCTTTTCTTCAAGCATATCCACAAAATCTAACTGGAAACATATCTGCTACGTGCAAATATGTGAATCATGATATATTGTCTCAAATTGTTTTGATATTCTTCTGATGCATTGGTCTCTCCCACATCAATAATGTTGGCAGCCACGACGCATCCTTTGCATTTTATGCTGTGAAATTTTCTAGTGGTCCTTTCTCCATTTTCAATGAGATACTGTTATTATCATTCAGAAAAAAAGAGGATGGCCATAGCTTCCTACCAGTTGCATTGATAGCTGCCTCATTGAGTCTGAAAGATAATGTTCTGAATGTCTGTGTGTGTTTGTGTATCTTGGTATTCATTTTTAACATATATGCATGTGCCAACTGATGAGGACCGTACAAATGTCATACCCTCCCAAAAGAGATTAGATTAGCCCCCACCCTTCAATCCTTCCATTCCAACCCGAAAACATGGATGTTCAGACAGGCCTTTGACCTTGAGTAGGTTGAATGGGCCCATACGAAGCTGACACTTGGCACTTTGAGAATTGATGGCAGTTAGTTTTATCTACTGTTGTTTTAAAATGGTATTATTTTGATTTTATGCTACATGTGTTGACTGGGGTTGTTGTTATAATTTTATGTGACTTCTTTTATACTTTTGTACCATTTTTACCTGTTGTATGTTATATGTGCACCCTGGAGTGCCTTGTAAGCTGCCCTGAGTCCCTTCGGGGAAATGGTGGTGGGATATAAATAAAGTTTATCATCATCATCATTATCATCATCATCATCATCATCATCATCATTATCATCATCATTTTCTTAGGCAAGGAATACTCAGCAGTACAACTTATAGTAAAGGTGTTCATTGGCGGTCTCCTGTCCTAGTACTAACCAGGAATGATCCTTAATTAGCTTTCAAGATCAAATGGAATCTGGTGCCTTTAGAGCAAAGAAGATTCCGTAGTAAACTATGGATGCAAGAGCTGGACCATAAGGAAGGCTGAGCGAAGGAAGATAGATCCTTTTGAACTGTGGTGCTGGAGGAAAATTCTGAAGGTGCCTTGGACCACGAGAAGATCCAACCAGTCCATACTCCAGGAAATAATGCCCAAGTGGAGGGAAAGATATTGGAGGCAAAGATGAAGTACTTTAGCCACATCATGAGAAGACAGGAAAGCTTGGAGAAGACAATGATTCTGGGGAAAATGGAAGGAAAAAGGAAGAGGGACCAACCAAGGGCAAGATGGATGGATAGTATCCTTGAAGTGACTGCTTGGCCTTGAAGGAGCTGGGGGTGGCCAAGGACGACAGGGAGCTCTGGCGTAGACTGTTCCGGGAGGTCATGAAGAGTCAGAAGCGACTGAATGAATAAACAACAACATTACAAAAGTTTTGTCTTAAGTTGGTTGTTGTTCTTCACCTTTACCACTAGGTGGAAATATTATTTCATTTTTGGTTGAATGATGTTCTTGAGCACCTAAGAAGTTTTATAATAGGAAAGGAATATTTAACATTGTGGAAGGGTGTGCTTGATCATTCTGCCCCCAGAATAAGACTGTTTCATAGTTGGTGACCCGCAAACCACACAAAGGCGGCAACAATATCCCCACCCTTTTTCCAGAGTAGGACTCCTATCTTTTATTTTTCCTGGTCTCTTTTGATCCACCTGATCTATTGTTTCCTCTTCCAGAATGAAGAAATGGCCCGCCAGCTGGTGGAGCTCGGCTTTCGGGGAAGTGGAGAAGTTCTGAAAAGGGAAGACTTTGAAGCGAGGAAAGCAGCTGCTGAGGCTTCAAGGCTCTCAGAAAGACACCAGCAAAAGTAAGTGGTGTGTGTATGTATGTGCAATATACAATATTATAAGCAATGAACAATATTATAAGACTAAAACATAAGAAAAGATTATTTGGGATATATTTTAATACAAACTTGGTCAGAACTTAGTATTAGTTCAAAGAAATATGTTGGACTTTTAGGAAGTGGCATCGTATTCTTAACCTTGCATAAAACCTTACATGAACCAAAGTTTACAAACATCAGCTTCAGGTGGTTGCGCCTGTAATTCCTCAAATGGTGTCCTGCAAGATAACAGTTTACGTACATTTGTCAAAATGTATGGATAAATAAAGACTTCAATGTATTGTCAAAGGCTTTCATTGCCAGAATTGCTGTAAGTTTTTTGGGCTATGTGGTCATGTTCAGGAGTCATCAGGAAAGTCAGGAGAGAATGCTTCTGGAACATGGCCATACAGCCCAAAAAACTTCATGGACACATGGACACATGGCCTTTCTTTCTCAGTCTGGCCTTCTTCCAGATGGAGGGGAAATGGTGTCACACTTCATTCCAACCCCCCACCCCACCCCCAATGAAACAATGGTAAAATGGCCTACCCTTTGTAGAGACTGTGTGCTGTGTTTGTATACTGCTTGTTGACTAGGTTTTGTTCTTTGAAATAATTCATGCAGTGATTTATTAAGAAGCCCAAAGTGAGTCTCATCTGTGAGTGTTAGTCTACCCATTCTGAGCACAAGAGTGAATTGTACCTCTCAGTGCAGTTCACAAAAAGAGTGGGCCTTATGTCTCAGACATGGATTTGGTGCTTGAGCGACTTGAGAACTTTCGAGTTTTAACCATAGTTTGTGTGAAGATGTGGCAAGTTGCCTACATTGGAGCAAAGAGCATAAAATCATTGCCTCTAGACCATGGCCATATAGCCCGAAAAAACCTACAACAACCCATAAAATCATTGTTTTGATAAGCATTTTTTGAAAATGTTTAGCAATTCTTATCATATGGAACACTAGAGAGAAACCATTTGAAATATGTTGTGGAATTGAAATAGATTTAATGCACACCGCAGATAGAAATTTATCCTCACAGCTGTAATTAGAGGTGTACTTCAGTTAACAAAGCCTCTGAGAAAGAAGGTTCTTTATACAAAGTCTTTTAATAACTGTCCAGTCTCTCCTTCCTCCTTGTTTTCTCTCTAGTTGAAATGTTTTTTAGCAGTGCGATACCGGTTCTTCCAAGTACTGGAAGAGTCCTCCCATACGAGGTGGCCCGAAATTTGAGATTGCCAACACAGTGCCTGTTGCATGTCTCTCCACCCTATGCAACTAAACGTATGGGCATGTGTGTCTGGGGTCTTTTTTGTAACTACATCCCAATGTGGAACTCCTTTCCGAGGGAAGTCAATTTGGCACAGTGCCTTTTGGATTTTTGACAGGCAGCTAAATGTTGTTTCTCATGTCTGGCCATCCACAATATTGCCCTGACTGTTTTAACTTCCTTTTACCATATTTTAGGAGTCTTTTGAGTCTATTTCAAATCATTTTTTTAAAAAAACAGATCTACTTAATGTTTTTATTGTTTTTATCCATTGTATTTTGCCTCCGAGGCCCCGGTGCCATGAGAATTGATAAGCGCTTTTAAGACTTGACTGAATAGACATTGACTCACAGTGTATGGGTATGAATATTTATGCAACCAAGAAGTTTTTTTAATTTAATTATTATAATAAAAATATTCTGTACCTTCACAGTGTGGCTCATCTTGTGGTACATCAAGTGCTAACAATGACAATTATATTCATTTCAGTTCTAAGCTACAGCACTGCAAAGTGTTGGAAAACTCAGAAGAGGGACAAATAATTCTGCAAAGCATTATACACCCCTAGTTACCAAGTATACAAGTGATTTTATTTTTCGGCATTCATTGCTGTTCTCTCAGTTGATAGTCTCAAGTCTAGTCTATTTCTCTCCATTGGAAAGTGTGTGCCTTCTTCCTCTTTTTTGCTCTTCCTCCTCCTTCAATACTTTGCTTGGACAGCTGTCAAGCATATGCTGTCCCATTAGCTATCAAATTCAAAGTGAAGCATGTGCCGGAGCAAAATATTTTCACTTTTTTGGCTCATACTTTATATAATTGGTAATTGACCTTTCACATCCATTTTTAGGAGATCAGAAGGGAGAATGCTAAAGGATTTCTCTTAAATATGAGCTAAGAATTTAGAAACATTTTAAAGAACACAATAGTTAAAAAAGAAACGTGTTTATTTAGTACATTGCAAACTTGGCTGCCAGTGTTGCCTCCCAACTCTCTTTATCCAGGGACAACAACGTGAACTTGCCTCTCAGCATTCCCCATAGCACAGTGGTTCTCAACCTGTGGGTTCCCAGATGTTTTGGTCTTCAACTCCCAGAAATCCTAATAAACTGGCTGCGATTTCTGGGAGCTGTAGGCCAAAACACCTGGGGGCCCACAGGTTGAGAACCAGTGCCATAACAGAAATGGTACAGTTTGGGCCCAGGCTATCTAGAAAACTGCATCTCCTTGTATAAACCTGCATAAGCTCCTTGATCAGCCAATGAGGGCTTACTCTCGGTCCCACCCCCATCTCAGGCACGGCTGATGGGAACGAGAGAGGGGTCAATGTATTGTCGAAGGCTTTCATGGCTGGAATCACTGGGTTGTTGTAGGTTTTTTGGGGTGTATGGCCATGTTCGAGAAGCATTCTCTCCATGTTTCACCTGCATCTGTGGCAAGCATCCTCACAACCTCTGAGGATGCCTGCCACAGATGCAGGTGAAACGTCAGGAGAGAATGCTTCTAGAACATGGCCATACAGCCCGAAAAACCTACAATAACCCACTTAGAGGGGTCGCCCCCATCTTTGGAATGCCCTCCCCAAGGAGATCAAAATGGCCCCCTCCTTACTCACTTTTAAAGAGCAGCTTACAACATTTCTATGCTCTCAAGCATATGACGAGAAGGAGGAATAGACCTTATAACATTGTTAAATGAAATGGAATAGGAAACGGATTTGATATGCTATCTTACCTGTCTTTTAATGGCTTAAATGTTGATTGTTTAATTGTTAATATTTAAATTACTTGTTTTAACTAGTGTAATATATTTTATTGCTTGATGTTCATATTTTTACTTTTGTTTTATACAGGCAATGAATGTTTGCCTTTATTATGTTGAAAGCTGCTCTGAGTCCCCTCGGGAAGATAGGGCAGGCTATAAATACAGTATTATTATTACATTATTATAAATGTGTTATACCAACTTGCATGAAAATGGATTAACAAGAGCTTAAGGGCCAGGATATTTCATCAGTGGTATGAAATCTATTCACATATACAGTACTATATTATATAATTTGAAGTTAGAAGTCCAGTGACAACATAATTCAGTTAGTTTCTTCCTATTTTTTCTTAACAATGATTTGCTGATAGTGGTTCCTGGATTCTTGAACCTGAGCAATATATTTATGAAGTGCAAAGTCTGGGTACAAGGTGGTTTAATCACTGTGAAGTCTTATGTTTGACAACATACCTCCTAAATAGGAGAAGAGATTGTATCTACTTTGGAATGAGCAAGTCAGAGGCAAAACGTTATTTGAAGTTAGCTTATTTGAAGTAAGCAAAGTGATTTTTGGTTACATATCCCTGGCTGACATTAAATTAGAAAGGAACATTCCAACTTGCTATCATGAAAATTGAAGGCAATTCTTTACAGCTTTCCGGTGTATAATATTCTCTTTATAATATTTTACTCTGCTTCAGCCTTTGACCATATTTAGACTCTAATAATATATATGAGAACCTTTAGATCAGTGTTTCTCAACCTTCCTAATGCCACGACCCCTTAATACAGTTCCTCATGTTGTAGTGACCCCCAACCATCACATTATTGTTGCTACTTCAAAACTGCATAATTGCTACTGTTATGATGTAAATATCTGATATGCAGGATGCTTTTTCATTCACTAGACCAAATTTGGCACAAATACCTGATACGCCCAAATTGGATTACTGGAGGGGTTGTGGGGATTGATTTTGTAATTTGGGAGTTGTAGTTGCTGGGATTTATAGTTCACCTACAATCAAAGAGCATTCTGAATTCCAGCAACGATGGAATTGAACCAAACTTGGCACACAGAACTCCTATGACCAACAGAAAATACTGGAAGAGTTGGGTGGGCATTGACCTTGAGTTTTAGAGTTGTAGTTCACCAGCAGTGTGGATTCAAACAATTATGGATCTGGACCAAACTTGGCACGTATACTCAACATGCCCAAATGTAAACACTGGTGGATGTTGGGAAAAGTAGACCTTGACATTTGGGAGTTGTAGTTGCTGGGATTTATAGTTCACCTATAATTAAAGAGCATTCTGAACCCCACCAATGACAGAATTGGGCGTACTTCCCACACAGAACCCCCATGACAAACAGAAAAGACAGTGTTTTCTGATGGTCTTTGTTGACCCCTCTGATACCCCCTCATGACCCTCCCCAGGCGTCCCGACCCCCATGTTGAGAAATTCTTTAGATTCTTTATTAGCACTTTATACTTCTGAGATTGAATAGTGTTGTTTTATATATGGCAATGGATGTATTTTATTATTTTTATCAGGGGGTACTGCGAATTTATGATGTTGTGTTGATTGTTTATTATCTACTCGTATGTTTTGTTTCACACTTGCTGTATTTTGCATGCCACACCTTGAGTGTTTTATGAGCTGCCCCGAATCCCTCTGGGAGATGGTGGTGGGATATAAATAAAAGTTTATTATTTATTATTATTATTCAATTGAACAAAATATTTTTATAAAGGCAATTTGGTTTTTTTTAAAAAAAAAACCCAAATATTCCTGTATTGAACAAACTCATGAAATCATGTTTTAGAAATGGTACCTCTGCACAGTATCATTTAGCGAGTAAAAAGAAAATGCAATAGTTTTAGTATGGCTTTGTACCAATAACCTGCAGTATTATCTTTGATATCGCTTCATTCTACTGCCCTGAATAACT